TCTCCGTACGACCTGGGGTCCGGCAGGCACTGCAGAGATTGTAGGGTCCTTCTTGGGGTGAATTGGAGCCCGGCGGCGGCCGGTTGCAGGTGCGCGCATGCACGCGTACATGCATGCGTGACGTGCGCGCACACGTGACTTTGCCGTGGCCTATTAGTCACCTCAGGTGCTGATCATTGCGAACACACCCTCTCTCCTAGCCGTCCCATTGGTTCCCAGGGACCTGTAGTTTCCTTGTTTTCCAGACAACGGGGGGCATTTCTGTTTCCTGCTGGGTTTAAATCCCAGCCAGAGCCAAGAATTGTTGCTGAGTTATTCTGCCATACCCAAATCAGCTACGAAGCCTCATTTCCTGTTTCCTGCCTTCCTTCCTTCCCAGCTATTTCGATCTCCTGGTTATCAACCCCTAGCTTGTCTCCCCATTTATGATACGCTGCCTGCCTCGACCCGGACTGTACTCTGACAACGCATTTTGGATCATCCTATCTTGTACATCAGCCTGGACTCTCCTTCTGGTGTTTCCTGCTATTGGGTTCCAATCCAGCAAAAAGGGGGACTTCGCTCCCTCCCTTCCTCACTCTGCCTGAGAGAGAATGTGCAGAAGTCTGAGCTTTGCAGCTGTGATCAAGTGATTACAATTTCAATGCTTTCCAGGGTTGAATACAAATATTAAAGAAATGCATATTTTTTTAAATATATTAATTATGCATTTCTTTAATTTTTGCAAAAGGTGAACTTATCTTTTAAGAAGCAGCATCAATTGAAAGTGATTTAGTCTGGATTTGAAAGAGCTTGAAAACCTTTTGATTTTAATATCACTTTAAGGACAGCTTTCACTGAATGGAAACACATTGGGAACAAAGCTAATTGTATTCAGAGGACAAAACAGAACATGTCTATAATACGCATAGTACTTTATAAAACTATGGACACTCTGAAGAAATTTAATAAGCTGAGAGATTAACATCACTGAACAGGTACCAACTCCCATACTTTAATATTCCTTCCTAGAGAAACTGTTTAACTACCTCCGGGCTGGCTGTTTTAAAAAAACGGCCGGCCGGAAGCTCTCTAGATCTGAGCGGGCGTCTTTAGACGTCCGCTCAGACACGCCCCCTCGCTGGGCGCGTGTGAGCGGGAAATACCCTATATTTCAAAACAGGCAGCGATGCCTGTCAACATGCAAGCAATCCGCCGGCTGTAGAGCCGGCGGATCGCTTGTATGGGGTAATGATCGGTGCAGCCCCCTCCGCGGTCTCCCGTCTGCCGTGGTCCCGCTGGTCCCGGTGCGGGCCCGGGATCATCAAGGTGCCTGTGTCACAGGGGATCAGAGAGAGATCGTTTCACGAGCTCCCTCCGGCCCCCTCTCCTCTGCAAGAATGCGGAAGTGTTGTATATTACATCACTTCCGCATTCTTGTGTCGCTCTCCAGCTTCAGAAGCTGGAAAGAAGCTGATGGAGCAGATGGAGCCCCCGTATGTGATAGCAATAAAGTTTAGTGGGAAAAAAAATGAAAGTCCCCCCCCACAAATTTTTTAAGTTAAAACACACATAAAAAAGAATAAAAAAACAAAAAACATTTTTAAAGTCACCACCCATACATACACGCATGCAAACGTGCGTCAGGGGCGCATACGTGCAGAAAAGACGATTGCGCCCATTACGCCGCACATGTTACATATCGTCGCAAACGTCGGAATGAGAGCAATAAGTCTAGGGCCATCAATCACTGATAACACTAAACTGATGAGCGGTAAAAGCTTTTAAAGTGTCGCCTATGGCCAATTTTGGGTATGGTAGTTTTCTGCGATTTCACGGGTGCGCGCAATTTTAATGCTTGACATGTTTGGTGTCTATTTACTTGACGTGACCCCGTCTTTTATATTTTACCAAAAAACTGGGTAATAATAAATGTTTCCTAACATAATGTAAAAAAAAATTTTTCAGTAATTTTTCCTAATTATAGTAAAAAATTAAAACCACAGTGGTGATTAACTACCACCAAAAGAAAGCTCTATCTGTCCCCAAAAATTGGTATAAAATTAATTTCAGTACAGCGTTGCATGACAGAATAAACGTCAGTCAAGTACCGCAGCGCTGAACAGTGAAAAATGGCATGGCCAGGAAGGGGGTGTAAACACCTGGTCTTCAAGCAGTTAAAGGCCCAAAACTAAGACAAATATTTTCTAAAGCAATACAGATTCCAAGACTCTAAATTAAATGAAAGGGATAAGAAATTCATTATAGTACTTCTTTATTGATTGTTTCTTTAATAGAGCGGGTAACATCAGTGAAATAGAAAAGAACTCACTCTAAAAACCGCGTGATGTATTCCTTACTGCAGGGCGACCATATTAGCGGTGACGTGTCATACTGCAACTGCCGGGACATAATATATGGATGTCCTCCGGTGAATTCACAATCATTCCCCTGTCCATCATGCTGGATTCCAAAGCTGACAGAAAATGACAGTGCATATTATTTGTAAGCAGATCCATCAAAACTGAACTCCAGGCAAACAGCTAAATACACAGATGAAATACATATAGGAGGGAAGAGATACTTGGCAATGAATTTGTATTTCTGTCCATCTAGTTTTGAGATTTACACAGCTCTGCCACATAGTACAGCCCTATCTGGCAGGGAAAATACCTGATATTTCTCTGCTGCAGTTCAGTAGCGCTTATCCGTCTTGTCCCTCCTGTGACTGGACTTTGAAAAGAGAAGAACCACACTGATGAGCTCATCTCTCTGTTACTCTGCTCTCTTCTCCTAAGAGCATGCTCCCTGCACTGCATCTATTAGGCCCATAATGTTACCTTTGCACTCCAATAAAGCTGATCAAGCACAGATTGTGCTTGATCAGCTTCTTACCTGGCCACAGCGGTTGGGGGAATGACAGCTCTAAACTCGGAAGTGACAAAATCATTGTTGCTTTCAGGTTGATTCAATGGAATGGAGTTCAGCGAATGCATGTTCGTTGAGTTCCCCCGCTTGCAGCCCAGACCAGTCATGCCGGTCCCAGGCCCACAGGAGGGGCAGTGGAGCCCGGGATACATGGTTGGGGAATTGGGCAAGGGGTTGGGCAGCACCTTTGATGCCCTGTGGTAGTGATTGGGCGGATGTAAAGTTTGCTTTACACATATAAGCAGACTCCCCTTACAGGGCCCAACTGCCACTGCTTTAAGGCATACAGTGGTGGCAGTGAAAGGGTTCACGAATACAGAGCTGCGTTAGTTTAGGTCTTATATATCTGCCTTTTTAGAACAAATTATTTCACTTTAAATGCAGTGTGTAGTGTTTTGTCTCCTGCCATTTCTTCAGAGATATCTGAAACCCAAAAATGGCAGTCACGATCACCGTTTCAGCTAAGCTACCCTTGTCACCAATTTAACGGACCACTATGGAAAGTACAACAGAGAATTGCTAGTGATGGGAAAGATATGGCCTTGCCCGTGTACAAGACAGCAGTAGCTATAGATCAATCCCAGCCCCACTCAAACCTCAAAGCGGACCTTTACCCATATCTTTAAAATAACAACAAACACACCTTTAGAAATGTTCAGTAATGACAATCTACAAACACATACTTCTAGATAATTGCCGGCTTCGTATTCTTTGCATTCCTTACTTCTCCTTTCTTCCCCAGTCTTCTGACAGTGGCCATGTTTACTAAGGGCAGATTACTAGCTCTCATTTCACTTCCTGCATTTCTGGCACATGTGACTAGACATGTGACTAGGACATGTGACCATGCACATCATCTCAGGGGAGGAAAATGCCTTTCCCTGAGATCTCGTGAGATTACAGATGAGATTTCCAAGCAATGTTCTGCTGATGACAACGCAATCCCAGTGTGCATTGCTTTGCCAAACTGAAGTCATTTTGCCCTTTCAAAGCAGGAAGTGAATGCTCTGCAAGTGTAAGTATTTTACAATCACAGCATTTTACACCTGACAGGTCTATGTTATTATTAATCATCATATATAGAGGGAAGCTTTGGTAGAATTTGATTTTTGAGTGTAAAGTTCTGTTTTAATCACTTAATTTCTATACATGTCTTGGGAACAAGATCTCATTGGAAAAGTTCCTGACTCTTATGTCACTTTCATTACAAAGGCAGTGTCACTCCTAGTGCCCCATCTTCTACAGAAGAATCCGGAGTGAGACCCTCTTCACATGCCCATGGACCTTGACATGGGATTTCTGGCAGGATCAAAGCTGATTTATTAGTGTTTGCACACACAGTACACCGTACTTTCAGTAGTCTCTGATTCACAAGTAGAGGAAACAGGTGCATCCTGGGAAACCCAATCACATTATTGGAAGAGTATCTATCTACCCAATTTGTGTCAGCATTGCTGATAATCTTTGGACTTCCAACCACATCCAGCATCTACTGCATCTACCAGCAGCTTAGAGACATTGTTTTATTGTTGTACATGATATGTGTTCTTACTGTATGTTTCTGCTTTCTAAGTAATCATATCACTCTGTTTGTACAATAAATGTCTAAGGCTTTTGCATCCAATCTGACATATTTAAATGGATGCCAAGCTGCAAACAGGCTACAGAGCAACATGTAGCAAGAACACTTTCAATGGTATACTTAACAGACTAAAACAGAGAAAACAAGAGTTCAATGCCAAAGCTGACATACAGTTTAAAGCTGAATTCATAAGAAAATATTGACTAAATACAATAGTCGTGTGCATTCCTATTGAATGTTGGTGCGTTTTGTGTACCTCTTCCAAATTTGTGCAGTAATCCAGTGTGAAACGTTGCCTCTGTGCAGGAGCTTCCTGTAATAAAGACCGGTCACTGCTGCTCTCTCTCTTTGTGCAGGGTGACTGGTCTTGTTTCCGCCCACTTATGTAGTAAAGACCAGTCGCTGCTGCTCTCTCTCAATCTGCAGGGTGACTGGTCTTATCTCTGTCCACTTCTGTAATAAAGACCGGTCACTGCTGCTCTCTCTCCTTGTGCAGGGTGACTGGTTTTGTCTCCTCCCCCTCCTGTAGTTTTCTGCAGGCAGCCTGTAGTGGGTGGGGTCTGCTGGGTCAGCCCCACAGCTCTGTTCTCTGCACAGTGTACACTGTTATTTAAAAAGTGATATCTGAGGTTGCAAAGGCATTTGGTGCGCAGTTCAGCTTTAAAGGTCATATTCACACGTGTTAAGTGAATTTTGGTGTATGCATGCATTCATTTTGAATTGAAAATAACGCTAAACCCGTACCGTTTTCTTTTCAACACAGCACCAAAACGTACAGGTGGTTCTCAGGTGAATAGCCATGTCTTCCATTGACCTTAATGGGCAACATAGTGCACGAGTGTACGTAAAGCTTGGAAGGTTTTTGAATTTTTCAGCCAAGTATTAGTGAGGCTCCTCAGGGTGCAAAGTGCAAGCAGCAATGCTGCAAATAAGGATAATATACATTGCCTGGCTAAAAAAAAGTTAAAAAAATGACATGCTAATATTTAGATGGACCACCTTTAGCTTTGATTACGGAACACATTCGCAGTGGCATCATTTCCATAAGCTTATGCAATGTCACAACATTTATTTCCATCCAGAGTTGCATTAATTTTTCATCAAGATCTTGTAGTGATGATGGGAGAGTCAGACTGCTACGTAAAGTCTTCTCCTGCCCACCCCAAAGATTCTCATCAGGGTTAAGGTCTGGATGGGTTAAGATGAGGTCTCATGTTCCCTGAACCACTCTTTCACAATTTGAGCCCGATGAATCCTGGCATTGTCATCTTGGAATATGTCCAATGTGCCAACAGAGAAGAACAAATCCATTGATGGAAAAACCTGATCATTCAGTATATTCAGATAAGCAGCTGACCTCTGTTTTGGGGCACATAACGTTGCTGAACCTAGAAATTTTGACCAATGGAAGGCTCTGACCTATTTGCTTAGCTAAACCCAGGTGATTACTTTTTTTTTTTTGGCCAGGCCGTGTATATTGGAAGTGCGGGGGGAGGAGGAACATTGTGAAAAAGTATAAGTACCTGGAAACACACTTTACACTAAAACATAGCGACAACCATGACACAAGCTTCCACGACTTTGTGTCAAGAATGGATTAGCTGAAAAAAAGAAGCAAATATGGGGGGGTGGGGGGGAGATGTATATTTCAGATTGGTTATGCTTTTCAGAATTAATGTATTTACTTTAAAGTAAATTTGAATATCCGACACTAATTTATGGGCATTTTATTAGATTAGTCTTATTAATATCCTAGAATGTGCAATATATTTTTATGCCCATGGAAATAACATTAGCGCACATATAAATAGTTTGTCGATCGGGCTACCCAATCAGAAGTCACAAACCTTATTTTTACTAAGTGCTGCAAATGATTTGTTTTCCTCCCAATTTAATGAGCGTTAGTCACAGAGAGGAATGCGGGGCAGCCAGGCAGCCAATCAAGTGGAGGAAAAACTATTGATGGTGATTTGCTGACCTTCATCTGAGTGGTGTGAGTTATTTTTAATGGGTGTTTGCATGTTTTCTTTCTAAAGCCAGTCCCATGAGTTAAGCAGATTCCACTCAAACTGGTCAGACTATATATACAGTACATCTGTATGACTGGGTAGGGACATATGTACCTTCCTGTAGGTGCAGAGGCTGATGTATTGTTCTAAATACTTTACCAAATGAAGACTCAGAGATTCACATGGCGAATGGCTCTGTGAATTGTTTATAAATACACCCTTAAAAAATACTTAACAATGGAACATGCAATGTACTTTATTGTCGGGGCTACTTTTTAACTGTACCAACCACCAAACTAGGGAAAGGAGACATGGTTTTATATTTCCTGAATGATAAAAAGACTTCGGACTCTTCTCATCATACCCTGCACGCCCTTTTCCCTTACAGTTCTCATGCTGAGTTTCACCACAGTTGTCCAGAAATGTACAGACGAGGAAAATAGATTAAAGAAGAAAGGATCACAGTTTGTATATACCAAGGTTTGGTGCTGCCCCCTTAGACCGGTGCCCTAGGCATTGACCCAATGAGTGCCATGATAGAAAATACAGCCCTGTTTACAACCCGTCCCTACCTGTGTCCGATTTCATGTGCAATGGTGAAAGCCATAGGCAGGCCAGAGTCCTCATTAATGTTGCAGCTTCTGAATGGCTGACACATGCCCGACAGGTGAGACAGGCCCAGCGTTTCACATGGACTGTTCCTTCCTGCACAGATATCTTTCCTAGGGAGAAAACAGTCAATATTGGTTCATACACTCCAGGCAAATGCTAACATTTTCATTCCAATTGAACTAGAGTGGCTTTAAAGATTAATTTTCAGCACACAGCTAGACGCACAACTGAAATACATGTTTTATAAATGACAAGCAAATGTTCAGCCTGCGTAGTGATCCAGACACCCTGACCAGACAGCACAGCCAGGTCCTGCAGCCCCTTGCACACTACACTGCAGTAAGAATATACAGGTTGGCCTAGGACCTGCACAAACCTATGATAGTGTGGGTAGGGTCTAACTGTGGCAGAGATTTAAACCACCTTCAAAGTACCAGCCCAGTGACTCTCAGGTTACTCATGTCCCACTGACTTTCAGGTTACTGCTGTGTCCTATAGTGACGTGATGTTTAACAATGGCTGAACAGTACACTTTTTTCCAATGCCTATGCAGTAGAACTAATATACTCCTATAGGGACTTGTCCTGTCTTCCAGAAGGAATGCAGGCACCAGAAGGAAGAGGACCAGCCGATCACAGCTAAAGCAGCTTACGTAGGTACCAAAACGAGTTAAGTATGCGACTGAGGTGGGGGAGGGTGGGTTAGAGCAGCTCAATACTGGGAGACAAAAAAGTATGAGGAAATTTTCCACATTTTCTTTCGACAATTTACCTGGAAAGAAGATAATTACTGCTGTGCTGTCTCTAGCCAACCTATAGTGCTTTAGGAATGCTTTTTCAAACATTAAACATTTATCTGTAAAGCAAAGATCGCATACAGAAGTAAAAAAGGAAATAAAACATCCGTTTTACAAGAAATGTACCAGAGCAAACAAATCAGATGTGAGAACATTCAATCTCTAAGCAGATATTAGCAAAACAGTATACTGAAACAATAGGTGTCCTTGTAGTGTTTCTCAGTGCAGGTAATAATAAATAAAACACATTCTATGTCCTTGCTTCTTTCCATATTTATAAAGTTAATATTGCATGTGCCCCGAGCTATCTCCAAAACCCAGCAAGAAACTTTGACAATACCTTGTGGAGTTACTAATTATGCTATACATTACTAAACAAGACACTTTTCATTCATAATAAATATAGAACATATCACCTTCTATTGGAACATATGCTTTCCATCAGGAAACATGTTCACTGTATTTAGGAATAAAGATGAGACCATGGAATATATTGGATTTCCGCAGCGCTATGGCCATTAACTCTGTCAGCGCATCAAATCTCCATTGATGCTCTTTGGTTTGCTGCATCCCGATGAGCTTATCAGTCACTGTTCATTAAAGTTTAAAGCACAACTCAACTTGCATTCTATAATGTGCGCAGGCTATCAGCATGAACACAGAGCTGCGGTGGAAAAGCTTCCATTTATCAGCATCATGATACATGGCTCTGCATGATAAATAATAAGAAATCTTCATGAATCAAGATTGAGCCGTGGGACATCATCTGAGTTAACAGTATGCACTGGCAGTGGCAATATCATCCAATAAAATATAGCAGCACAGATTTAATGGATTATTCATTTCCTTAAATCATTAAAAAGCACCATATCTTAGTAAAAAACATTAGGAGATTGATTTATAATATTTTGCCCAGCATGGGTGTGTGGATGGAGAACTTCTCCCTTGTAGGGGGGGCAACTCTACACCTTTGCACCGGGTGACAGAATGTCTAGCATTCCCATCATTAGATGGTGTGGAGAAGCATAGGAATTTCCTATGGCTGGACGGAAGTTTTATAAACCATCCTCTATGTATAAAAAAAGGAAGGTTTGGAGGTCCGGCAATGGCTCTGGTTATGGACTGGGCAACAGATCAGTGTCTACAGAGTCAAGACAGAATAGCCTAACTACAGAGTCAAGAGAGTAAAATCTGACTCAGTAGACATTGGCTCAGTAGAGATGATCAAATTGCACATGCAGGTCTGACCATATTGTAATGTCAATGTTCAGCTTCAGTGTATTCGGAGTGCAATGTTTAAAGTGTATGTAAAGGCAAAACTTTTAGAATTTTTTTAATTGTAGATAGAGACAGTGAAGGCTCAAGCTTCTGCCAAATTTTATTTGACGTCTGTGTCCTCATTAGGTAGTTTCACCCCTCTATCTATACTGCTGACCATTGTAACCGACAGTTGTTCTGGTGACAACTGCCTAAGGCTCCATTCACACTGGAGCCTCTCTAAACAGAAAAAACAATGCACTTTAATGTGCATTGCTCAGATTATTGCGGGGACCGCATGGTACGAAACCGTGCGGCCCCCAATATAGTGCACGCAAAATAATACGGCAGTTTCCTATTTAATAGCCACAATCGAGCGGCATTGCTGCGGATTAAAAATGTTAGAGTTTTTGTCCCGCACGGTCTTCCGCACGGAAAACCATGCAGGAAACGCAAATGCTATGTGAATGGAGCCTAAGATAAAAATCCTCCTACTTTATATTTCCTAAAACTTCCTGTTGCACATTTAGCTGGCCACACACCAATAGAATTTTGCTTGATTTTTTTTTTTCAGAATGCTTATTCGATTTTGTAATAGTTAATCAACAACCGATTTCAATCGTAGTGACACAAAAAAACCCCAAAGGAGCAGGATGACCCATGAAGTGATAGTATCAGGAATATGTTGAGGGTCAGTATTACTTGTTTGGGTGTAGTAAAATAATGATCTTGGTGTGCTGAGTGTATAACACATACAATAAATGTTATTTCTGTGACAATTATTGAGCTGAATCTTCTGTAGCCAAAAGTTCCAGAAAACAAAAATGTATAAATTCTAACGCGCCATCTGTCAAAACCGTAAGCATGCCTGGTTCTTTGTAAATAGGCTGCACTCACTTTGTCCTGTCCACAGGTTCTCACACATGAGAAGAACCCTAAGTGGGCAAAATCCAAGAACATTCAAATGTCTGGATTTGCCTAGATCCATTGCATATGCACAGGCATTTGCTGATTATTCCTGGTAACTGCAAAGTGCGCAATGTGATTTCCTAGAAAATGTTGTGATATTCACTGGAAATAACAAGAAATACCAAGCCCAGAGTGATAAATATGTATCAGCAATTCCTGTCTGGTGTGTAACTTTATACATTAATTGACCAGAAACCATTTATATATTATAAACTAATACCGCTGTCTACAAGTACACACATAATTACAAACTGTATATAAGAGCACGGTTTTTAAAACAACAATAAACTGAGAAGATTATGTAAACCAAGCCTATGTACACAATATAGGCAAAGATTTTTGGAAACCTGACCATCATACCTATATGACCATGTTGTACATTCCATTCCAAAAAGTATAAATTGGCTTATCAGCTTTAACTCATCTGGCAAGGCTTTCCCCACAATGTGCCCAATCAGCCAAAAGAGCATCTGTAGGGTTCAGGTATTCACTTTGGATGAAAAGACTTGGCTTGCAAATGGCATTCTAATGCATTCTAAAAGGTGTACAATAGTGTTGAGGTCAGGGCTCTGTACAGTGCACTCCATTTTCTCTATACCAAACCCATCAAACCATGCATTTATGAAGTGTGTAGAGTGGCACATTCATGCTGTAACAGGAAGGACCTTCCTCAAACAATAACTATATAACAATAACAATTTTGTATGCTGTACCATTAACAGTACATTTCACTAGCAATGCCTGAATGCAATAATTGTGTAGGTGTGTCAGGTTGCCCAAAAATGGTTAGCCAAAAACACATAAAAGAACCCTTTAAAAAGATAAATACTCACTTTAAGAACACAGATTCCAAGAGTTATTTTAATACAAGGTTATCCTCAAATGACAGATGTACTATTTTATGTGCCCTTCTTACCTGATTATGCTAGGACACTTGTTCTGATTACAATCAGTATATAAACAGCTTTTTTTTTTACTCTCCTTGATGGAATTGATGAAAATTAACCTGCTACAGCATGTTTACTGCTTCAACTAATCAAAAGGAATGGTGAAGGTACAATATTCCTAATTAGCAATGCCCCGTGATCGATAGACTTGACTTGTGTTGACGAATGTACATATAGATTTATTGGATGATTAATGAGAACCCTCCCTCCCAACTTACTGCTGTTATCAGCTGGGAAAACAAAAGCGAGGTTAGATGAGGTCTTTTCGTTAGACCGGCTGTTCACCTTGCTTATCTTGACCTATAGAAGAGCGAAGCCAACATTTCATGGAACAAGTGTTGCTCGACAGCCCTAAACACTTGCCAGGAAATTCAATAAAATGTTGCGCTTCTACACTGGAACTCAACTGAAAGAAAAACAAATCCGCCAAACTTTGCTCTCTAAAGTTCAAATATTTGGGGTGTGTATAAGAAATCAAGACTCATTGGAGAAGGTCCTGACACTTGGAAATAGACAAGATAAAGATTTTATTTTAATTACATTTGTGTCTTAAGCCAAGGAGACAGCAGTTTTATATTGAGAAAATAACATTTAAAATGACACTAATCTTAAAAATGTGTTAGAATACCCTAACTATTAACAGAAATGTATCTTATTTGTGCATCACTCGGCTGTAGATCCTCAAATCATCTCTGAAATTGTAATGTCATTCCTTCTGGAGGGTGGCTACTTTTGTTTCCCATGGTCCCTGTGTGTGTCCCAAGCATACTCCTGTAATGGACTACAATCTCTGTACAAATAAGTAAAATAGACATGAGATTGTAGTCTATCACGGGAGTGAGCATGGAGCAGTGACTACTTTACAACACACACAGGGACCATGGGGAACAAAAGTAGCCCCCCTCCAGAAGGAAGGACAGTGTCCACACCAATTCAGAGATGATTTGAGGATCTACAGTCGAGTGATACACAAATAAGATACATTTTTGTTAATAGTTCGGGTACTTGAATGTATTTTTAAGATTTAACTCCTGAGTTGAGTGTCACTTTAACTATTAGTTCAGAAGTTCTTTTTTATTGTAATGATTGTTAGAGCTCATCTCCAAGGAGAAAAAAAAAATCCTCTTTCCCTAATCCCCCC